CTATGGGCTTCAAAAACATAGAACTCATGTTCCTTTCGATTGTATTATTATTTATAGTGACGGATGTATCATCTGTACAAATGCTTCTTGCTAAACCAGGACCAACATTCACAAAGAACCTATTAAACTTATCTACTACATCCTCCATCCAGATTAGTACTAGTATTATTATTAAATGAGCATCTGTTTTATATCCTTTATTAAATGTGTCAACGTTGATAACAACACTGATTTCTAAATTATTCATGGCTGTATTTTTGACATAGAAAAAAAAGGAACCTACAGAACACTGGATGAATTGTTATTGTATTGTTGTTCCCTAATGAATGCAAACCATTATATAGCATTTGGAATTGGCTTGAGATGAAGACTAAATAATGACAGATGATAAACTTGTTTCTTTTGTATAAGGCATTAGATAACTACTGTATACGCTTGTAAAAGCAGCGGAGAGTCATCTCAGCACATACAGCTAAATGCCAGAAAGTTTAGGTGAAACATCTGACTTAATTAATTCTAAATGACCAAAGAAAGGTTGTATTCAAAATTCATTGTCCATATAACCTACCTTCAACGACTATTCAAACCACTCAGGAGAAAAACGTCTCTAGTACCGAGGTGCAGTGGTCAGCGGGATCAATACTTCCTGTTCTGCAATAAAACTGTCATAAAAAGTCACACACACAGATCTTAATCATTAATTGATTACTGCATGTTTTGATATTTCAGGGAGCAACAGGGCCACTGTGTGTTGTAAATGCATATTTTATATCAAATCAAATCAAATTAAATTTTATTTGTATAGCGCCAAATCACAACAAAAGTCATCTCAGGACACTTTACAAAGTAAGGTCTAGACCTTACTGTTATCAATATTATTACATAGGGAAAACCCAACAAATCCCCCTTGAGCAAGCACTTGGTGACAGTGGGGAGGAAAAACTCCCTTTAACGGAAGAAACCTCCGACAGACCCTGGCTCTTGGTGGGCAGCCTTCTGCCTCGACCGGTTGGGGTGAGTGGATAGAGGAGAGACAAAAGAAGAAAAGCAACAAGACACAACAATCAAACACTGATCAGGTCGATGTGGCTGGTGACTGCTCATCAGAGATGTAGAGCTCCAGGGCCAGGGCAACCTGCAAAAAGGTACAGGGAGAGAGAG